GAAAACGTACGGCTCCCCGTTAGTTTATAGAGGTACAACACAAAACATAGTGGATGGTAAATTCTCAAAACAATAAAATATGTAACCACCATGCTAAACACACGCTAACAACTGACTATGGGTGTAGACTACATGTATACAAACACTTGAATAGTTTATATGTTATTTGTGTAGTTATCATTATACACTTTAAAATAATTTAATTTAAATTTAAAGAGATTTATAAAGAAAATTAGAAAAAATATATATATATACTTTTAGCAGTTTCCACCCCTCGTAAATTATCCCCCCCCCTCCCCGAAAATTTCAACCCCCCCCCCCTCCAAAGAAAAAAGTCCGGAAGAAACCTTGATCACGAATTAATGTTTTACTTCACTAAAATAAACATATAGGATGCCTCCTTTTTACATAAATTTTACTTCTCTGCGTGAGAGCTTTATGAGCATAATTTAATTCGTGCGGGTTTTGTGTTTTAAAAGTAAAACCAAACCAAATGAACTATATTAAAGACAATGTTTGAATAAGTTCACTTGACAACTTCAGTATGTGTCTAGTATGTTAAAAATATTGATTCATGTTTGGCAATTGTAAATATATTGAAATATACTAAAATTTGTAAAAAAAAAAAAAAAAAAAAAAAAACCTCTATTGGCTTTTTTTAAAATTTGTCTTTCTATTTAGTAACATTGTATCTGTCAATAAACACCTACCCTAACAAATAATAGGTCATACATAATAATAATATGTAAATAATAGATATTCAAATAACTCCATTCATACGTATGTATATACGTATATGTACATATAAATATATATATATATATATATATATATATATATATATATATATATATATATATATATTTATATATATATATATATATATAAATATATATATATATATATATATATATATATATATATATATATATATATATATATATATATATATATATATGTCAAGGTTATTATTCTATTGGTTCTTGTCCTTCGTTGTGACTATCCATAATTAATTTAACAATCTTTAGATGTATTACATCCAGTAATACTAATCGTTCGCATATAGAATGAAAAAGCAACGGATATCAAATATCTTGAGGACGGTGCTAAACTAATAATTTATTACACAAGAAACGATAAACTAACAGCACAAATAATGAAGGGGTACTAAACTAATCGTTTCATTCAGTGCTGTTATAGTGGATTGTTTAGAAATAATCCACAAGCCTTTATAGAGAAATCGTTTGCCCTGTATTTTTATTTAATGACGTACGTGAATACAACGGTCAACATTTTAATCAAACAACAGGAAAATTTGTATCACCACATGATGGTTTATATATTGTCTGTGTCAGTCTACATGAATGGGGAGATAAACAGATTGGAGTTATTGTGGTGGCTGGAGACAGGGTGTGTGCTACTATTGATGTTAAATCTAATAGAACTAGCGCTGCTGGGTTAGTGGTTGTTGACATGAAGAAACGGGAAGAACTTTTCTTTATTTCGTATAGAGCAGATCAAGGCGCAGTGTTAACCTGCTTCAGTAGTTTTTCTATCGTTAGTTTATAAATGCACAACACTAAACATGGTGGTTGGGAAATGATTTAAAAAAAACCGAATGTAAAAAACTAAATTTGTAAACCCACTGTATTAAACTTTTATGTGTTTAGAATCCATGTCAAGTCATGTCATATGTTTACCATACACATGTCTAACCAATTCAACACAATTAACGTGTATGTGTCTTGTCGGACTACTGTCAACTGACATCTTTAACATTTACGACACAATGATAACTCTAGTTTGATATGTATAACTTAAATTACGTATTTATCTTTGTGTCAACAAAAATCGTTTGCCTGCAATAGAAACATGGAATATGTTGTATACTGATTTATTAATGTATCATTCACTTTGCTCGTCTATACTTACTACCTTTTTATTTTATATTCAATATTGAACTCAAATATGATTACAATGTTTCAAAACAAGACAAATATGATAAAAATAAGTGGGCTGTATCAAATAATGTAGTACAATTCTGGAAGGAATAATTTCAATAGAAGGGGACAAACCTGACAACTTAATTGGTTTCAGATTTACTGATGTGTCTCTCTTTGGGGACAAGGCATCTGAAATAAAGTGAAACTGGGTTTTTGTGAATAGTTTGGGTATCCGACAGGACATAACATATACGATTGTAAGTAGAAGGCATTCTCTTTTTAGCGCAATTTCCATTCTGGAGAATTGCGTTTATTAACCCGTCATTTCTGGATGTATGAATGTATGAATGAATGGATGGATGTGTGTCCGCAGCTTTAAGTCGTATCTCCTCCTCAACAAAGCAATATCGATGACTAGTTCCAAAAGCAATTATGTTAAGCAAGTTACGAGGATGAACATAGGCTATAAAAATTCCGGGTTTCTTTCATGGATTTCCCGGAAAAGCCAAAAAACCTCGAAAAAAAGAAGTTTTTGGCCCATATCTCGGCAACCAGACCATTTAGCGACTTGAAACATGTACCAATCGATTCCTGCCATAATTTAGAACAATATTGCCGAAGAAAGTTTTCAAAAATATCCTTTCGTTCGGTCACAAAATTTTTTTTGAATTAATTAAAATTTGGACCGAATTAGTAGGCATTTTTTCCAACCACACCACACGCGTCATCACGTTCAATAGCTGCACCATCACGTTCTATGGCTTCGTCATCACGTTCAGTAGCTAGGCGCGCAATGGTTTTTAGTCATGTAACTCTATTGTAAATAAAACATGTAAAATACTGAAATTTTTTTAAAAATAAAAAACGTTTTAATAACTAACCAATGGTTTTACTAACCCTGCTCTTGATTTACGCTACGACAGAGCTATTTTTAGATAACATAAGGAAATTGCGCTAAAATTGTCACTAGACTTTTTAATTAACTTGTTTTAACTTAAAAAGAAGCATTTGCATGAACCAAGTATAGAGAGTTGCATCATGTGTTACAAAAAGATAAAATAAAAGGAGATAACTTAAGCATCCTGCTCGTCCGCCTTATTTTTTTCTTTGGTTTTCCCTAACATGAGTTAAGCAATGATACTTAGACAACACAATTTTATGTGGCTTTTATTTTTTAACATCTTTTTCAATTTTGAGATGAATAGCCAAACTTCCTAGAAGGGGTTGTGGAAAGGAAATGTCTTTACAGGAGGGGGGTGGATCTGCTGCTTATCGTGTTGTGCTGAATGGGGTGTTGCTTAAAGATATATGATATTTGGTCTACATGTAAACAATACGATCAAATACTAAGCCCAGAACAATCTACAACACTACCATACAAACCACCGAGGCTGTCTAACACAATTTAGTTTTTGTTTACTTATGAAAACAGTTTTACTATCATATAAAAGGTAAGCCACTAGGTGTATGTTGCGTGTCCCCCACCACTTGTGCTTGAGAAGCTTTAAGTCGAGTTTGTCTTCTTTCTTTGTTAACACAAATTGCAGATTTGCCACAGAAAATATGTTGCAGATTTTACAAAATCTTGTTTCTGCAAGGCGTTATCTCCATTAAACACACTAACTCGGATTTGCTCATCTCCCGTCTCCTGTAACGTGACAGTAACCAGATATAATCCATCATCTAATGCCGCATGTTTTTCTGTGTTTTGATTAAAATGGATTCCGTGAATTCGAATACTATAGAATGTAGTAAGAATGGATCCAACAGCTTCTGTTGTGTTTTTATCAAGATGAAGTTGACAGATATAAGGTGAACGTTTCTTTTTTTTTAATCAGTGTGTATTTTGTGTGGCTGTTTAACGTTGCGTGCTCACAGTGTGGGGAGGGGAGCGACTAATGTACGTTAGCAGATAATTGTTTTTCAAAACTGTAACAATAAAGACACCCATGTAAAATTTTTAATTCATGTCAACAGATGCCTTTAAGCTATAAATCAAGTGTAGGTCGATACATTGTTCTACTGACTATTTAGTGCGGTCTGTTGTAATAGTTTGTTTAAATGTGTAAGTCTGTGAGTTAAACGTTAGGTTAACTAACGTAAGTTGTGATAGTTTGTTTAATCATATCACATATTATGCATAACAAATCAATACGGAAACTAATGTACGGCGAAATGACTAAGTCAACGGACACTATCAAATTTACAATTATATTTTTATTCTTTTGTTAGTGTCTCCTCCCCCACACACTCTAAACACACACACACGCACACGCACACACTTATACTTTTACACTTGGAGACTGTTGTATTCAACCATTCTTGATATTATGTAAACGTTACTTGGAAGTCACATCCAACCATCGAGTAAATATTTGATTTACGATTGCCCAATGTGGTGTCGCTCAAATCTGCTTAGGTGGATTACATGCTTAACTCTTATGATTTATAATATACAGTTTTTGCACCATGAAAGATGTTTTGGTGTGTATCCTCACTCGATTCTCTGATGTCAAATGACGTCACTTTGTGTACACATTATATTAATCCACCTAGAAGCGGAACTGGTTGCTCTGAAAGATGTTCTCTCTCAACACTCCCCTACCCATAATGAACCTGTGCTTAAGCAATGTAAACTAACAGTTATAAATTGAAGTTGAAAAAGTATGGTTACCATGGGAATTATTAATTGGGGTGTCATCATACGCCCACCCCACTCCAAAAAGTTTGAAAATGATGCGACCCGTAACCCACTCCTCTCACTCACATCTCGCGACCACTGAGATTTTTTATCACGTGTCTGTTCACCAAAACTAAATTAAATTATTTACTATGCGCTGACGAATTTTTATTGTTTATACGAGTGAGTGTATGATGTACTATCAAAACTAGGTTAAAGGTACCTACAATTAACGATTAGCTTGAACGAACTTACACCATCACCCAATCATTATAACTGATAAAATCACATCGTGTGTAATATGGATGATAACACGATTAACAGGTTTTATATGTTTATTGAGAAGATAAATAGCAGGATAATAAGCCAAAGAACGATACAGTACAAAGTACAAATAACTAGAGATATCACTACATGGTAAGGGTAATTTGTGTTATTGACTTGACTCTTTGTTCATTGAAGCGGGGCGACATTTTGTTACTACTGGAACTAGTTTGTCTGCAACAAGAGCAAACCAACTAAAAACTTTGTTTTATTCTTCAGTCAAAAGTGAGTTTACATTTTAAAATAATGTTAAATCCGAGTTTTACACGACATCAAAATTTCCACAAACTTAATGTTTACAAAGCTAGACAACTGTCGAATCACAAAGACTACAAATGTTGGCTAATGGCAATTAAATTCTATGAAATAATTGTTTATAAATAATGTTTAAATAATTCAAGTCTGAAACTTTTTAAGGATAGTGTATAAGAATTATGTGGTTACGACGCCGTGAAAAAGACGACATTCTTTTTATTAAAAAACGTAACTAAAAATCTTAATTTATGTTCTAGTTTTTACGATCTAACTTACTCTATTTTATTCAGATGCGTCCTAGAATTCAAGTCAAATATGTTACAGAACACATGAAGTATTTAAAAGAAAATATAAAAGTCATTAAACCTGAGGTTGAAGCTTTACAAATTGTAAGTGGCAAGTGGTATTTGTCTATTTTGTTGTTGTTAAACATAAAGTATATTATTTAAAACCTACAAACATTAAAGAAAACAATGTTCTTAAACAACATCCCAACACATATTGTTAACGCTAGATGTTAATGTTTAATGTCATAAGGCAGTACAAAACAGCAAGACTTGGTTGGAAGATAAAAGTGACAACAAATCTTTGACATACTGTGATCTATGCCAAGAACTTGAATCAGCAACCACAGCCATGTTGGATGTAGCGGAACATATTTTAAGTAAATATTTTAAAATACATGTGTCTGATATTTTGTTTAATACTCTGGTGTATCAATTAATTATCAATAACTGAATAGAAAATAAAAATAAAATAATAACAGGAAAGCTTCGAAAATTATGGAGTGCGTCAATATTATTTAACATTAATTAATTTCATTTTATCAAATACCCTTGACATTGCAGTAAATGTATCTTAAAATTATATTGAAAAAAAAAAGTTAAAAAGTATTCATACTTTAGAAAAAAACATATTTGATTAAAATTCTAGAGATTATTTTTGATTTATGTTTTTAAGACGAAAATAAAAACACTGTAGATACTGAAGGGAGGTCATTTTCATGTCAGTCTACACCACAAACTACAGCAACAGAAGACCACGGCAGTAGTGAATCAACAGATCATAATCTTAAAGAACTTCATCAATTATCAGGTATACACAAATACGTTTTTTAAAGTAATCATTAAACCAATTATGGAACAGTGAAATATTTTAATTTATTTTCTTAAAAGAAATGTAGAATCTGATTTCCAAACAGTCTTACTTCTCCGATTGACTTAACATTGTATTGCCTTAGATATATTATGTCGACTTGAGAAGATAGAGACAACCATGTATGCCATACAAGTCACCAATATCAAATCTACAAAAGACATAACAGAAATAAAACAATGGAGAGACAACTTTGTAAAAGAACAGAGTGACATGGGGGTAAACATTGAACAACTGACTAAAAAACAAAAGCAGAATTTTAAAATCTTTAGAAAACAAATGAGTGAACAAGATAACAAAATAAAGGAGCTGAACAAAGAAATTGAAAGTTTTAAAGAAAAGGAAACCAAGTCAAACAAAACACTAGAGAAACTGTCTCTAGATATGAAAGAATATGAAAACAACTTACTCAAAATAAATAAAGAAATACAATTTTCCATAGATAAAACAGACAGTATAACTGATGAAATTAAAAGACATTCTGAAATGATTTTCTCTTTACAAGAAGATAACAATAAAATGATGGTCAATACATCAACCAAACTTGAAAAGTTGCAATCAAAGGTAAACATTTAAATTGATACTTAATTAGGTCCACAATTATACACCTACTTGCCAGTTTATCAACTCCATGTAAAGGTTCCCTTTCAAACCAGACGGTTCATGGGGCAAGTTCACTTGTTTTTGTGACCTCGGCATATGAAAAGATAGTGTGGTCAGCACTATGCCCAGCCGCCTTTTACCTATCAGAGTTGGGTGGACTCAAGGACAGTTTACTGACTTAAACCCGGATTCGAACTCGAGACTTACGGGTAAGCAGTCCAGCTCTATACCGCTATCAACTGCAAGTATTATAATCAAATTGTAACATTTAATTAAAGGTCAGTTGTAATACTTCTTATTTTAAAACTAATGTTAAAGCTCACTTTTATGTCTGAAATTTTAATATACAGTAGAAATAGTCAAATTTGTAATAATCCTTTTAGCACAGTGTGATGTACAAACTCCTACAACAACGATTGATGCCCATTGACAAACTCATTCAAATCTTTAACCAGAACTTGGAAAATAGTAAAGAAAAAATTAATAAGGTATATTTGTAATGATTTTATAAAACTAAAATTATTCACAACATTGATAAATCCTACATTACTCAATACAAGTATGTTATAAGACTATTTAGTATTTACAGAGAAAAAAATACTTTAATGAGAATATACGTTTAATTTTTTTATATTCTAACAAGTTGACATTATTGTATTTAGTGTACCAGTCCTATATTATAGCTTATGTAAAAATATTGTGATGCTTTCATTTATTTATTCTATTTTAATTTAGCTAGGTGAACTTGAAAATAGTATTTCCAAGTTGTCCAACGATTTTCATCGCATCGGTAAGTGTGATGGTACGAATTGATCTCGTTTGAGGTTCTTCTAGTTGCACCAGTTGTGAGGGTGGGGATTTTTACGAAGGCGAAACGAATGAATCCAATAACACAAGTTCAAATATAAAATATAGAATGTTCTTTATTGAAATTATAAAATCAAGTTTCTACCTAACTAGCCTATTCTATACTCTCTACTACTACTGTCTGCCGTTTCCTAGATCTACCTATCTGACCATTCTCTTCACTAATTATCAACTGTTATCTAGCCCTACACATCTCAACCGTCTCTGATCGCTTCCTAACACTCTTCTCAACTCGCTATAGCCTGTTTCTGCTATCTACTTGACCTCATCGACGCAACCTTGCGTCATCACAGTAAGTTTGGTTTAAAAATAGTTAAAAGCATATTTATTTAACAGTAGTGATTTAATGACAATTCTGCATTTTGATTTTTTCGTTAAAATGTAACAATAGTAAAATCTATCATGTAATTCACAATGATAACCAATCGGTTAATGTTTTATACGCTTCATTACCATTGTTTAATATTCTACCCTAAATCTCTCACATTTTGTAATAATTATTGCGCTCTCTGCCTTTCCATTACACGGACATAACCACTTGTTAAACAATGTTCGTTATCCAGACAGACCATAACGTGATGTTCGTTATCCAGACAAACCATAACGTGATGTTCAATAGCCAGACATACCATAACGTGATGTTCGTTAGCCAGACAGACCATAACGTGATGTTCGTTAGCCAGACAGACCATAACGTGATGTTCGTTAGCCAGACAGACCATAACGTGATGTTCGATAGCCAGACATACCATAACGTGATGTTCGTTAGCCAGACAGACCATAACGTGATGTTCGTTAGCCAGACAGACCATAACGTGATGTTCGTTAGCCAGACAGACCATAACGTGATAAAGAATTGAACATTTCACTCACCCATAGTGCCAGTCTCTAGACCCGTGGGTTTTCGTCAGGTGTTTGTTTCCTCACCTGGTACATTACACCACCTGGTATGTCGGGGGTCGACCTACAGCGGTCTACCCTAGTACAGTATTACATTTACAGAGCTGCAGTTTAAAATTAACTAATTTCAATTAACATCACTTCATCCCTTTACATTTCTTATATTAAGAAGTTTTCAATTAGGAGCCAGATCTAAAATATAAAAAAGTAATAACATGAAAACATTGATAATTATAAATTTTTAACATCTTAGTATCTAATTAATTTGCTGTAAACTGAGATGAACATTACAAAATGCTGACTGCAAGTCTTGCGATCGGTCATCATTAAGTAGGCCTACAACAGAACAATTTTAGTTCTAGTAACTCTTGTTTCGAGAGATAAGACATATATAATTAAACTATAATGTGAACACATACGGACTGTATGATTATAATTAGAGCTGGACGATTTCCCAAAAGACACATTCCCGAATGCGACAAAAGCCATTTGCCCGAAGGCCGTACTAAACTACTGGTATAGTGTTTCAATTTACGGTCTTTGACAAAGTTATGTAAACATTAAAGATTATTATACATAGTTTATTTTTTGAAAAATAATTGTTTCATTTGGGTTTGTCAATTTTACTTACATTATAAACTGCATACAAAACACATATAATGAGATGATAACATAAGCTAAAGAAACGACAATTTACAAATATTATGGATCAAATAGTCAGAGCATTCGTGAAATTGAACATGTACATCAAACGCAATTTTTTCTAATCAACAGAGTCACGTGTATGTAACAGATATGCTTGTTATGTGGAGCTTGCTAATAACACACCTGTCAGTGTTGGATCAAATATTTCAACATTTGATGAAGTACGTGAATATAACGGTCAACATTTTAATAAAACCACAGGAACATTTATATCACCAGATGATGGTTTATATCTTGTCTGTGTCACTCTGAATGAAAGTGAAGATAAACAGATTAGAGTTGGTGTGTTGGCTGGAGACAGAGGGTGTACGCCTATAGAAGTGAAATGTGCCGACACTAGCGCTGCTGGGTCAGTGGTTGTTGACATGAAGAAAGGGGAAGAACTTTCCTTTGAAGTGTTGAAAGCAGATCAAGACGCAGCTTTATCCTGCTACAGTAGCTTTACTATCGTTAGTTTAACGAAATAAAACACAAAACAGGATGGACAATACATTTTTAAAACACTAAAATATGTAACCACTATTTTAAACACACGCTAACAACCTACTATGTGTGTAGACTACATGACTACAAAAATATGCTACTTGATTAGTCGTCATTACATTGTTCCTTCTAATTCAATGTGATCACCAATTAATATGTTCTTCTTGAGTACAATAAACATATAAAATAATTATATTTTTACATATATTTTTTCTTTGTATATGGGCACTAAGCGAAACCTTTCGTGCGTTAAAAAATGTAACATAGTTTGTTTACCTAAATATTAAATTGAAATCCGTATTTTTGAGACAAATTATTTAAAAGAAAAATGTTTAAATAAGTTCACTGGACATCATATATATTGAAAATAATAATCCATGTTCTGCAATTGTAAATAAATTGAAATATACTGCAATTAAATCTTAGAGTAATTCAGTGTAAAAAAAACAAACAAACAACAACCTGTATTGTCTTTCTATTGAGTAACATTGTGTTTGTAAATTAGCAACTACTCTAACAAACACAATAGGCCACACATGTTTGTACATTATAGATATTCAAACATTTCTATTTATACGTATATATATATATATGTGTATGTGTATAATACATATTATGTATGTGTGTGTATGTGTGTGTATGTGTATATATATATATATGTGCCTGTGTATGTGTATGTTTAACTTAACCTAAACCTAAACCTAAACCTGAACATAATCCTAATGCTAATCCTAATCCTTAAAGCATCATATTATTGAGAGGGGTGAGGTCAATTTTTTGGCAATTTGTTACGAGCGGAAAGTGATATGGAAATAAGATGTAGGAAGCTTGACTATAACAACTTGTTAATTACTCCTGGTAATGTTCCACTTCCACAGGGTCTTATCCATTTGACACAATAGTTACTGTGTCTATGGCCTACGAACCATAGGGTCTACACAAATTCAGATAGGAAATAGTGAACAAAAAACATTATCGTTTTAAGAGATGTTGAGATTTTTTAAACTCTTAAATTAATGCAACCATCACCATTTTATTGCAATATAAACATTATACAATCTAGTGTCGGGGGCACAGCCGCTGTTGAATATTGGGCTTACGAATGCCAAAAATGCCTGGCCCTACGAAGACAGTGAAATGGCCCTGCTCCCTACCCCCATTTATTAATTCGCAAGTCGATTCCCCCCCCCCTATGTACACATACCCGCCCAAACCGTTTCAGAAGGACCCCCTAATCAATTTCTCACCTCCCCCTCTCACCCGTCAATTTGAAATGGAGATCCAGGTGGGGGATAGCAGAAAAGCAGCTTTGGAATCGATTACGTATAGGTATAATTTTAGAAGTGTTATATATATATATATATATATATATATATATATATATATATATATATATATATATATATATATATGTATATATATATATATATATATATATATATATATATATATATATATATATATATATATATATATATATATATATATATATATATATATATTGCTCTTTTTTCTCGACTTGCCACCCCTAACCAGAAAACCTCTATTCGCCTCGGGCTGGAGATATTGGTTTATTATTAGAAGATAATAGGAAATACTTTAAATTACTTTACCATTATTATCAATAGAATATACTTGATATTGGTAATCAATATTAATTCTTGTTTGCTATTTAATCTGCTTTTCGTTTGGGCTAAGTAGTCCAAACAAAAATGATAATTCGTCATATGATTAAATAAACCGGGAGTGATCTCCCCTAAACTTTCTCGAATATTCTTATATAAAATAACAGGGGATGGGAACTCGGGCTATAGACATGATTTTTAATCCATTTTAAATACTTAAAGTTTTGAAAATAGAATAAAATCTCATAGACAAATTAATTGCACACCAAGTGAACGCCAAATAAAAAAGCGCATAATAGTGCGCAATATTATTAGTACTTTTAAAATTTACATTAGTTTTTTGAGAAATCGGAAGTAGCGTAAAGTACTACTTCCAGTCAACAGAAATTACTCAAAATTTAACAGAAGGTAGAGAATTAGATCTTTTACTTACTTGTGAAATTTCATTTATCTATCTGAAATAGTACTCAAGTTATAGGCTATTGAAAAATTCAAAGCAGGAAAAGTACTTATAAAATACTTATATATGAAATTTCATCAACCTAGTTGTAACGGTACTCAAGTTATCGTGTTTACACACGGACAGACAGACAGACAGACAGACAGACAGACACACAGACATACGGACAAGATTGCAAAATTATGTTTTTCCGTATCCGTGAGGTGTAAAACGTCGAGATTTGTAAAAATCTCGATTTTTTTTTTTGCACGATTACAAGACTTTCTCTATACTTCGTATATAGAGAAAGTAAAAAGCAAAGCAAGATACAGTTTATTATAACAAAATTATAACACAAATGTGTGTTTTTCGCATAAAAATTTTATTTGTTTTTTATGTTACATATTTAAGAGAATATAATATGTTTGTTATTGTGTAAATGTCTGTGTTTATTTTCTTGTAAAACAATGCAAATACATAAAGTTTAATTTTACAAATTAGTATAAAACCTAATACATATAATATTATTATAATAAAAAAATTAAAGTTCCAATAATTTATAGTTGTTCATTGCAAGAAAAAAAAACACTTGTTTTAATTCAAGTCACTTGAATATTAGACGTTTAAAATATAAATAAGAAACAAATCATAGTGGTACAATGGATATGTTAGTTTGATGACTTAGATATGTTTTCTGTCCTGAGCCATCAGAGAGTTATAGTCAGGGGGTGGGGACAAGGTCTCCAGATGGACACGGCTTGCCCAGACTTCATACGGGTAGACCTTTGGAATCGTTGGGCGCTTGAGAATTTTCAAGACGTACATGTTGCTGTCAATAGATCAACTGTTGTACTTTTAACTGTATGGTGTGGTATGGCTGTTGGTTTTGATTACAATTATAAATTATATAGACTTTATATCAAAAAGAGAAAACAAATTATTTGATAATTTTGAAAAAGAGTCAAATCATACGGCTAAATAGGATAAATGATGTTTAGTATCCAGATATACATATAATTCAATTTTCGCCATCAAATAATATAATACTTGACATAATTTGTTGGTAACACAGGAGTCGCGAGATGGGGTCGGGGTCGGGGTTGTAGACCGCAACAGATGAGACCATTTAGGGAGTGGTGACCCCAAACGACAAAAATAGCAAAATATATAGGGGAAAAAACGTTTCGTCAGTACAATTAATGTTAAATTGAACTTTAAAAACTCTTTTAAGTACAAATTGACGATCCTGACAAGGTGCTGGAGGGTGACACCTTGACATCACAAGCTAACTATAGCCAAAACAAGGTTAAATTTGGCTGTATTCATAACCGATTATAGATTGGCATCGTTATTATTAAATAAGAAGGCTTTAAACTATCACTCATGGGTGGTGTTGACACCAACTGCAAAATTTACACACAGAAAAAGTTACGTTTGAATATTTTCAATAACTGATGCGTCATACCATACAATATCTAATACTTTACTACGAAAACTTTGCTTTTTTTCGATGGAATTAATAGGTGTATTACATTTCAGTATCCACTAACTATAACATTATTTCAGTATTGCGGATGTAAGTTCTTAGTGTTGTTGATTTAAATAGCATTTGTCTGATCGAAAAACTAATGTTAATCTGTTATTAAATGTCTAACAGCCACCGCTCTTAAATATATTTATATAAGTTTTAAATTCTAAGTATCACTAAAAAGTTAAGCAAGAAACAGCCTACGTTTAAGATTATTCAACTCAATGAAACCTAAAAGCCATGTATATTACCTCGTCATTTTGTATCATTATATGTTTTACCAATTTTTACATAAAATTGTTTATATTACTTGTCCAAAACCTATCGAACAACAAATACAATTATTTATTCCCAGTTGACTGGCACACATTTTTAGCTCTATAGCTTTAATTAATAATGCCAATTGCATAATAATATTATACCTTCAAGAAACTCCAACCCAACATTTATCAAAAGAAAAAATACAAATTTAATTTATTAAAAACAAATTCATAAAAAACTTTTTAATAGCACATTTTTATGTAATAGTGCACTAAAAAGTGGAACATAAGTTTTGCTCTTTAAATATATAATAACACACTGCTATTTAAATAAACATAAAGAAAAGCGAGGGGCACTATATTATCTATGGGATATCTTTACTAATAATTAGGAAGAGATCCACGCTTTTCTTACATATATTTTTTTTAAAAATACGACAGAAAAAAATGTGTTCTTGAATTCTGAAGAAAAAAAACCATACAAACAAACTAGTTGTTGATATATAGGACAACATTTTTCGAATTGCTAACACATAAAATGAAGAAGATATTGTATATAATTAAATAACACATTTAAACTATATTAAATAACACATTTAAACTATAACTTTGTGCTAGTACTAAATTGAATTAGCCAATAACAAAAAACATAATTTTTTTAATAAATATAAGGCAAAAGCGTTCACAATCGGCACTCATCCGAGAACACGTGCCAATATGCAACTACTTAAAGAAGAAAATAATTGTTCAATTTTTTTGTAGTCACTTGCTTAACATAAGTTTTTTCTGAGTCGTGGCGGAGACGTGACATATTGACACATACACGCATACAAACGTTATCTGTACAATGTAAACTACATAGTCTATTTTGGGCAGTGAGTGTAGCATACGTTAGGAAGGGCTGTTTACTCTGTCGGTGTATTTCAATATTTGTCTTTACAAATCAATAAAATAGAATAAGTTGAACATAGACCAGCTAGTTCAGATTCGTATCAATTATGATTGGTAGGGTCTTACAATTTCAACATTTCGTCTAATTGTGTTTTGATGTTCTGCACTAATCAAGCAGTCTACAAGCAACAACAAACTAAGGCGCAGTTCACTTTAAGTCATTTTATTAAATGCAATATGTTACATTTTCTTGGTAAATAATTTCTTCGGCAAATTATCAAACACTATTTTGTATTATTCTGTTCAAAACTGCAAAACATGTATGACTAAACTATATAAATTGTCCATGAATTTTTAACATACTGAATTATTGCAAAATCATTATTTAAAAAATAAATAAAACAGAATTACTTAAATTTAGCCGCAAAGGGTGTTTTTTAGATAGAGAACATCCACATGTAAGGGATCCTTTACGTATAACACATTTTATCTCAGGTGTTTGTTTTTCGTTTATTTCATGGTGTTTGACAGCAACAGATCTTGTATATCCCGCGTGTGTAAGTATATTAATTTCCCATTTTACTGTCTGTGAGAGAATTCTACACACCTTTACAATTAGAGAAGTTAGTTGACCAAACTGTCAAACATTGTCTGCTCCACATTTCAGTAACATGATCTTCCCGGGCTTCTAATAAAGTTGTAGCAAGCTTTATTTATAAAAATTTGTATTTCCCTTTAGTGTTCAATGCAATTTTCTGGTCTGTGGCTTCACTAAAACAAAACTTCCGGCCCACTAAAACCTACGTCATTTTCCCAACCCTACTTTCGCCACACTCACTCACACACACACACACACATACACACAGTTCACCTTTTTTTCAAGACATTTTCTATACGAAAACTAAACCACGAACGCTGACATTTTACTTATCAAATATCTCTCATGACGGTTACGTAGATCTTTAACGTTAACCTTTACTTCTATTCGATACAGATCTCAATAAAAACAATAAAAACAAATACCCCAGCTTAAATTGAAAATAAATTGTTCAGCCAAATGTGTACAATCCTTGAAATAGCTCTGACCTTCCCTCTTGAGTTTACTCTACACATGGGTCTAGTTAAGCTTTGCTGCAAATATAAATCTGTCTGGTTTATGACGTCACACTTTGACGTCATTATCCCCATGTTCAGTTAAGAGAGCTCATTATTGCTCACACTACAGTCCTGAGTTTAATCACTCTACGAGATGAGGCCCGATAACCAGAGACAGCAACCCATCTAGAAAAGAAAATTCTTAAATGAAACAACTGCTGTTCAAGTTTAAAAACATCTCACGCATAGAAGATTAAAATTAACAATTTTTAAATGGTTTAGTTATGGATTGTCCCAACAAATTAGCTATATCTGTGGTAAGTGTATTTTGGAACTTAACAGCCATTTCTTGACACCACCATAAACATCTTCTGTTAGGTTATACAATTTTAGAACTCAACCCCTAATTGTCGTAATTATAATTGTATATCATTTGACTAGCAAATAGATATAAGCAATGCAGAGTACACCATACATCTATTACTAAGATCTAAATGACACCTATCGTCCCTACTGTCCGTTTACAGGTTAACTATTTTCTATGGTCAAAGTATATTTCAAAGCAAGCCTTGATATACAAGAATCTTGATTATTTATAGGATATTTTAACACATTTCTCAACCATTCATGGAAAAATATTATTATTTAAGACAGCACTACCATAAAACAACAGCCTTACAATAGATTTTAAGTCTGACATTTTGCTGGACTTTATTTTGTACCCAACACAAATCCCAATCCGAATAAGTTTAATAACCTTTTGACGACTGTAGATCTATATAACAGGAGATGTTCTGTGCAAACAAAGAAAACAAGTGTTAAGTTACCTAAATACATGTGTTAAGAAACTAGAAAAACAACAGTTTTGTCCCTTGTAAGTTGACGTCACGTATTAGGTAATATCGGGATTTCCCTTTTTGAAGTTTCACTTTAACGGATGTACTTGGCAGATGTGGAAGGCCTTCAGCACTCTAAAGACAAGACCGGTTCTACTGTAAGCTAAACATATTCCAAAAGTTATAAAGTAAGTGTAAACATCCCATTCACATACAATTAAATTCATCTTTACACAGTAACGACAACAATAAACATGAAACGTATGCTGAATAAGCTGCACATTTTATTTAAACTATTTCATATTTGTCTTTTATTAAATATAAAAATAATATGTGTTTAAGTTAATTTAAAATATACATTAAATTTTACTTAGTTTGAGATAGACATAAATATGACATAAATATCATTTTTTAATCATTTAAATTTGTTAAAGTTGGAGGCAATCGACTATCTCTAGTACGTGTCGTCTCTTGTCGCCATCTTTATCACTTTTACACATTTTTTTTATAACATCGGGTTTTCCCGCTAGATCCTTTATAATTTTACTAAATAGGCCTACTTGCCTACATTTATTTATTAAAGAGTGAAATTTCATGTAGTAAGTTAAAAATGATTTTCAAAGGAATAAGACGTTTAAACGTCATGATAGATATTTAATCAGCAAGAAAGCCTTTGACAAAATAAAGCTGTTTTCTGAATAATACTGCTATCAAATTTAATCTACTGAGACTTAAACTATACAAGTTTTCTTAACATTTCTATTTTTAAAATTGTCTTTAAATTTTTCTGGTTAATCAAGTTAATTAGTCAATACCTCGACCAAATCTGTTAATTTTTGTCTTAGATGCGACCCAGGATTCAAGTTGAACTTGTTGCGAGGCATAAGAAATATTTGGAAGAACAGATACAAGTTCTGGAACCTGTCTTGGATGTTATGAAACAAGTAATTAATCATTAATGTTGTTATTGATTAAATAATACATAGAAGAATATTAAACGCTCAACACGTTTCATTAAAAAAATCATAAAATTTTTTACAAGGCTGTACAAAAAAGTAAGACTTGGATAGAAGAGGATAAAAATGAACATCCCTCCTTCACCTACATAGATGTACATCAAGAGCTAGATTCAGCTACTTTGAGTTTGTTGAATGCGGCATCATCAATCATAAGTACATGTTTCTATAATTATAATAATGTGAGAGGTGTAAATCTCTATTAAATCTATCTACTACTAGCCTAATGAAAGCAAACTACGAACGTAAAAAAATATACCGTACATCAAACAAAATTAAGATTTGAAACATGAAAGAAATTGATACAAATATTTAACAACACATATCCAATTATCAAGTTATGTAATGACACATTATTTTTATTCATTTACATTACCTAGATGAAAATAAAGACTACGTAGATGTGGATGAATATACGCCATCATTACCCCAGTCAACACCACAGACTACAGCAGCAGAAAAACGTGACCTTAGTGAATCAAATCATCAAGTCACTAAACAATCAACAGCGGGTATAAACCATTTTGAAACAAAACAATTAATTATAAAACATAAAATGTAAAAGTGTATGCCTTATTTTCTTCTACTAGACATAATTAATACTTCGAATAATTATTTTTGCCTTTTTATTGCATTAGAAATAATGAGTCGACTTAAGCAGATAGAGACAGCCATATCTTCTCTACAAGACGTCAGTCGACTTGAGCAGATAGAGACAGCCATATCTTCTCTACAAGACGTCAGTCGACTTGAGCAGATAGAGACAGCCATATCTTCTCTACAAGACGTCAGTCGACTTGAGCAGATAGAGACAGCCATATCTTCTCTACAAGACGTCAGTCGACTTGAGCAGATAGAGACAGCCATATCTTCTCTCCAAGACGTCAGTCGACTTGAGAAGATAGAGACAGCCATATCTTCTCTACAAGACGTCAGTCGACTTGAGCAGATAGAGACAGCCATAACTTCTCTACAAGACGCCAATGACAAGTCTACAGATGACATATCAGAAATAAAACAATGGAGAGACAACTTTGTAACAGAACTGAGTGACATGGGGGTATACATTGAACAACTGACTAAAAAACAAAAACAGAATTTTAAAAACCTCAGAAAACAAATGACTGAACAAGATAACAAAGTAAAGGAGCTGAACAAAGACATTGAAAGTTTAAAAGAAAAAGAACCCAAGTCAAAAAAAACATTAGAAAAACTGTCTCTGGATATGAAAGAATATGAAAACAACCTACTTAAAATAAATAAAGAGATGCAAGATCACACAGATAAAACAGCCAGTATAAAAAAAGAAATTAAAAGACTTTCTGATCAGATGTCTACCTTACAAGAAGAGAGTTCTAAAAATATGCTGAATACATCAACTCAATTAGAAAAGGTAAAATTTCTAATTATCTGTGTACATAATTTTACACATGCTGGCCAGATAACTTATTTCACATTTAATAACCTGGTTAAATCAAAAGACAACTTAGTAGCTTTATCGCCAGTTATACTTTAAGATTTTTACTAGATTTAAAACACATGTTTATGTTAGTTTTAATGTGCAGTAAAAATATTCAAATTTTAATGCATTAATTGAATCTTCTGCTCTTTAGCACAATGTGATGTACAAACTACTACAACAGAGATTGATGCCTATTGACAAACTGATTCAAATCTTTAACCAGAACTTGGAAACCAGGGAAAAAAGAATAAATAAGGTATATGTATAATACGTTTATTAAAAGCTAAATTGCAACATTAAAAAAGAAATGCATTAACTGTATCAGTCTGTTATTAGACCAGTCAATAATATCTGGTTCAATTTATGACATAGCTTTTGTATTCTTTGAAGTTGCCATTTTCAATTATTGTCAGGTAAGCTATTGTATATTGTAGGTAACTGTGATTATTTCATTTATAAAATTTTAATTGTATTTTAATTTAGCTTGACAGTATTGAAAATACCATTTCAAAGTTGTCCAAAGGTTTTCATCTGATCGGTAAGTGTGCTTTGAAAAGAAAAACAATAAAACACAATAAATACATGATTATATTAAAACAAGAACGGTAAATTTACTTTACTTCTGGTGAAAATGTTATGGAACTATTACTTTGACGTATAGTAATCGATGCTAACAAATCTGCACTAAGTGTATGACTTTTGCTTATTTCTGTTCAATATCTCTCGTGATGTTCGTTAGCCAGACATACCATAACGTGATGTTCGTTAGCCAGACATATCATAACGTGATGTTCGTTAGCCAGACAGACCATAACGTGATGTTCGTTAGCCAGACCATAACGTGATGTTCGTTAGCCAGACAGACCATAACGTGATGTTCGTTAGCCAGACAGACTATAACGTAATGTTCGTTAGCCAGACAGGCCATAACGTGATGTTAGTTAGCCAGACAGACCATAACGTAATGTTCGTTAGCCAGATCATAACGTGATGTTCGTTAGCCAGACAGACCATCACGTGATGTTCGTTAGCCAGATAGACCATAACGTGATGTTCGTTAGCCAGACAGACCATAACGTGATGTTCGTTAGCCAGACAGACCATAACGTGATAAAGAATGGAACATTTCACTCACCCATAGTGCCAATCTCTAAACCTGTGGGTTTCCGTCAGGTGTTTGTTTTATGCTAGTTACATATTACGTGACGTGATAGACACGTACTAAACGTTTAACTAACCAATGGCGGTACTAAACTAATATTTTAAATTTGTACTAAACGTTTAACTAACCTATATCGGTACTAAAGTAATATTTTCAATTTCTACTAAACGTTAAACTAACCTAGGGCGATACTAAACTAATATTTGAAATGTGTAGTCTTAGATACCATTATGTAATTAAATAGTTAGAACATGTATGAAGTTAAACATGTAAATAATACATATGTTTTCTAATCAACAGAGTCACGTGTATGTAACAGATATGCTTGTCATGTACAGCTTACTGTTCTCACACCTGCCAGTACTGGATCAATTATTTCAAGATTTGGTAAAGTACGTGAATATAACGGTCAACATTTTAATCAAACAACAGGAACATTTGTATCACCACATGATGGTTTATATCTTGTATGTGTCACTCTATATGAACGGGGAGATAAACAGATTGGAGTTGGTGTGTGGGCTGGAGACGAGTGGTGTAAGGTTATAGAAGTGAAATGTGCCGACACTAGCGCTGCTGGGTCAATGGTTGTTGACATGAAGAAAGGTCAAGAACTTTATTTTCAAGTGTCTCACGCAGAACAAGGCGCGATGTTATCCTGCAACAGTAGTTTTACTATCGTTAGTTTATAGAAGTACAAAACCAAAGATGGTAAATGTTAAATTCTCTAAGCAATAAAATATGTAACCACCATGTTTTACACACGCTGACAACTTTCTATGGGTTTAGACTACATGTCTACATAGACTTAAAATGTTTTATATGCTATTTGTTTAGTCACTATTACACAATTCCAACTAATAAAATGTTATTATCAATTAATATGTTCTACTTCACTAAAATAAACAAATAGGATAACTCTTTATTACATATCTTTTAATTCTCTGTGTGAGAGCTTTCTGAGCATCATTTGATTCGTGTGCGTTTTGTGTTTTATCAATAAAACATGTGTGTTTGATCTTAAATTTAAATCCGTATTTTTGAGCCAAACCAAGTGAACTATATCAAAGACAATGTTTGAAAAATTTTACTAGGAAACTTCAGTAATTGTCTAGCATATAATTTATGTTAGGCAATTGTAGATTTATGGAAAGATACTGTCATTGTGATTCAATGTAAAAAAAAAAGAAAAAAAAACTCTATTTTCTTTATTTACTTATTTTTTTATTCAGTAACATTGTATATGTCAATTAACACATACGGTGATTACGCTAGCTTAAGTTATAGAGGTCAAGTAGAAGATAGCAGAAACAGAGCACACCGTAGTCAGGTAGATAAATAGAACTGCAGGAGATGACCGGTCACGTGAGACGGTCAGATGACCAGTGAAGCGTGGGTCGGCAGTTAGAGATAGGTAGCGCTAGAGAAAGATGTAAGGAGTTAGAATGTAGAGTTAGGGATGATCATGGGAGTGGGTAGGGATAATTCAAGTGTTAGTTGTCGTTAGATAGTGTTAGTAGATGTTAGGACGTAGTTGTGGTAGGAGTCGATTTGATATGTAGATAAAGAACTGTATTAGATTGATTTGGACCATTTGTGTTGATTCCAGTGTATCAGGCTTACATAAGAAGAGGCGATCCCCATAGAGGGCATATTAAATCTATATATATATAAAGCAATGTATGTGTGTGTGTGTGTCTGTGTGTGTGTGTGTCCTTTATGCATTACCACACCACTTATCACGTCGCCGTGAAACTTTGGGAAGTTGTTGTGAATATTCCTGGGGAGGTTTCTGCGGAAAAAAAAATCAAATTCGCAGGGGTGGCGCCCCGGCAGGGCGCGATTTGTTTTTTTCTTTATATACGGTATATAAAAATAAAAGTCGGTTTTGGTTTGACAGTGCTCATCCTATAGCCATGAGACTCTAGCAAAGTATTCTGTAAAAAAATCATCTTTAATTTTGCAAGGGCGGCGCCACGGGAGGGTGCGATTGTTCTCTATATACGGTTAATAAAAATAATAAAAATGAATTGCAATGACACCGTTCATCCGATCGCCATCAAACTTTGGTGAGTTCATTAGAACACTCTCGGGAAGGGTTCTGTAAAACAATCATTTTTAATTTCACAAGGGCGGCGCCACGGGAGGGTGCGATTTTTTCTCTATATTCGGTATATAAAAATTAAAGTCAATTTTGGTTTGACATCGTTCATCCGAAAGCCATGAGACTTTGGGGTGTTCATTATAACACTCTAGAGAAGGGTTCTGTAAAGCAATCATTTTTTAATTTCACAAGGGCGGTGCCACGGGAGGGTGCGGTTTACAAAAATAAAAGTCGATTTTGGTTTGACATCGTTCGTCCGATAGTGATGAGACTTTGGGGAGTTCATTATAACACTCTAACGAAGGGTTCTGTAAAAAATATTTTTTTAATTTCGCTAGGGCGGCGCCACGGGAGAGTGCGATTTTCCTCAATATGCAGTATATATAAATAATAAAAGTGAATTGCAGTGACACCGTTCACACGATCGCAATAAAACTTTGGGAAGATGTTGAGAATATTCCTGGGGAGGTTTCTGCGCAAAAATCATTTTTAATTTTGCAAGGGCGGCGCCACAGGGGGGGTGCGATTATTTTCTATATATACGGTAAATAAAAATAAAAGTCGATTGCGGTTTCACAGCGTTCATCCGATCGCCATCAAACTTTGGGGAGTTGATTAGAACACTCCAGGAAAGGGTTCTGCAAACATTCTTTTTTAATTTCGCAAGGGCGGCGCCTCGGGAGGGTGCGATTTTTCTCTACATGTGGTATGTAAAAATAATAAAAGTGAATTGCAGTGACACTGTTCACACGATCGCCATGAAACTTTATGAAGTTTGTATGAATATTCCTGGGGAGGTTTCAGCAAAAAAAAAATCAAATTCGCAGGGGTGGCGCTTCGGCAGGGCGTGATTTGTTTTTTTTTCTCGATATACGGTATATAAAAATAAAAGTCGATTTCGGTTTGACACCATTCATCCGAGCGCCATCAAACTTTGGTGAGTTGATTAGAACACTCTGGGAAAGGGTTCTGTAAAGTATAATTTTTTAGTTCGCAAGGGCGGCCCAACGGGAGGGTGCGATTTTTTTTTCTCTGTATACGGTATATAAAAATAAACGTCGATTACGGTTTCACGGCGTTCATCCTATTGCCATTAAACTTTGGGGAGTTGGTTAGAACACTCTGGGGAAGGGTTCTGTAAAAATCATACATAATTTCGCAAGGGCGGCGCAACGGGAGGGTGCGATTTTTCTCTATGTACAGTATATAAAAATAACATATCATCCGATAGCGATGAGACTTTGGGGAGTTGATTAGAGCACTACCTGGTAGGGTTCTGCAAATACGTGCTAAAGAAAATAATCCTGTTCATTTGTGTCACTTTTGCGAATGACGAATTCTGCATCATTGTTAACAGGATGCTATTTGGCACGATGGCGCCTGTTAGTTTTAAGGAGCCAGGGGCCGTACGTGGTGCCTATGCGGTAGTGTAATCGATGGGGGGGGGGGGTGTTCTCCTGAGTGCGCCCCTCTACGTCCCTGACACATGGGTGGTCACCGAAGTGTGATCTACCTGATTGTTTCGGTGAGTGCTTAATGTACACATAACGATTTAACGCGGTCGTGTAGGTAAACCCATGTCCCAGTATTTATGATCCAAGCGCATGCATTGTTTACATTTAAATAACTCACGCGTCGAAGAATATAGGATTTGTAACGTAGGGAAGAAACCCTTCTTCTATCTACGGGCACGCTAGTTATGAATATAATACAGCATGATCGTTACCGAGCATTACAGTTATATATATATATATATATATATATATATATATATATATATATATATATATATATATATATATATATATATATAAAAGACGAGCACATTAGAATTACTAACACGTAAGAGAAATAAATACAGCGCTTATATAAACTATATTTTATGCAGCTAATTAACAAGACATAGTCTAAACCATACAAATTACCTTTTCAATGTAGACGACACATATGTATAAATAAAAAACTAAAAGCATGTATAAAATCCACGGACAAGATATGTATTTTTAATTCACAGTATATTTGAAGTAGGCCTACATAAAAAAGAACGAATGTATAATTCTATAAGGTATACAATCTCCGGAAAATAACTAGAAATACATAGGATTTCAGTATTAAATAATTTATGCTTTTAAAATGTTGGAAATATTAATATGAAATAAAATAAACGATATAAAATAGTCGTGAATAATACTAAACCTCTGACAGAAAAATACAAGCCGCTAGTGAAAAGCGTGAAAATATTTGTTTTCTGTTGATGACAATATGCAGACGTACCTGCGATACACTCGCGGGCATTGCATATTTATTTGCACGTTTCTATGATGGATTCAATATCTTGATAATCTGTTTCTTCTTAAAAACATCCCATAGGCCCTACATGTTGGCAAAATTAAAAATCAAACACTAAATAGACTAAAGAAATTAGATCTTTTGCTTAGTTTTTTTTTTATAAGCTAACGATAGTGAAACTACTGTAGCAGGTGAGCTTGGCATCATCATCTGCGTCGTCCACGTAAAAATAAAGTTCATCGTTTTTTTTCATGTCGAAAACCACTGAACCGGCACCACAGGTGTGTCCGGCTCCAACTCTCACAGTCATGCGCCACTGACTTCCAGCCCAGACCTCAACATGAATCACGTGATCTCCCCATTCATGTAGAGTCACACAGACAAGGTATAAACCATCATGTGGTGAGACGAATTTTCCTGTTGTTTTATTGAAGTGTTGACCGTTGTATTCAATAACAGCTCTGAATGTAGAAATGGTGTTGTCAGAAAAAACCGGCGTGTTATCCCTTACCTCACAGTGACAAGCATATCTCTTGTTTACACGGGAGTCCGTGTGAAAAAAAAGTTACATATATTGATTGTTTTTACTAAGTTCAATATTAGATTATAAATAAAGAAACATGTATCTGTCATTTTTTTTTCTACAAAAAGCTTATTAAACGAAATTATTTATTTGTAAGTAGATTGTGCATATTTATACAATCTATCTACATACTACTAAAACTCAAGTTTGTTTACATGTTTGGGTATTTATTTGTCTTTTTTTTTGTTTATTGGTTTTTTGTTTGTTTGTTTGTCTGTTTGGTAAAAGGAGAGAATCTGCACTATGTGTAGACCCGCACAATACGTAATTAGGTAGAGAACAATGTTATTTTTGACCAAAACTGTTAATCACCAATTAATTTAAATACGTTAATTAATTTATTAATATATTCTTTGGTAGATTAACCAATTTAATTAAAAGCGTTCAGAACATTGACTTTATTTATAGTGACGTCACATGAGTAATTTGCTTTTTATAACAATAATGGCGGCTTCCATCAAAGATTTTGGTGCCCATTCAAAAGTTTAACGCGTTATAAAGCTAATTTTCTGTCGGCTATAGCTTTAACGATGCGTCTGTTTTCTATTTTTATTAGGTTCCAACACGATTATCAATTTTCAACAGTTCTTCTAATTTGAGTATACAATAAATTTCTGTAGATCTAGAGATCAGCTGTTGGACGAAGAGGAAAAATTCCTGGATCTAAAATCTAGAATCTATGTCAAACCAAAATTAATTAGTTAAAAATAAAAAATAAACATTATAAAATCACAATAAATTATTGGGTTTCTTTATTACACTATTTTAGTCCTTAATTATTTCAAATAAATCTTTGCTTTTTAGCTTCACGGATCATTTAATTAAAGAAAACAAGGGGTTTATCTAGGCCTATCAAAGTTCTAGATCTAAAACTACGGAAATACTAGACTAACTAGACTTAAGCCAAGCAAGTCGTAGAATCAATATCTAAAAAACTCTATCTTGATATTAATGAGTTTCTATACTAAAATATTTCAGACCTTCAATATTTTATATAAATCTTTGTTTGTTTAGTTTTGAATTAATTTAAGATAAAATTTAATTAGAAATAATACTAGGGCCTATTCGCGTAAATTCAAGTTTCTTACGCAGAATCAAAGTATAAATATAGGAGTATAGGGTTCTAGATTTGAGGAGCCTAGATAGCTAAGATTTTGGTGTAATATGTTACCATGCGTGTGGATCGGGTTCGAGACTCATTATGTCAATGTTAATTTTTTTTTTCAATTACTTTTTTTAGATGTACATGATAAAGTTGCCTGTCGTAGCATGGAGAGGATACAGAGTTCACCTGCTTCTGTGTACTCAGCATATGAAGGGATAGTGTGGTAACACCCATGTTCAGCAGAAATCAGTGCTTTTAAAAGACAAAAACGTCTGAGATGTGACGTCTTTTTAATGTATGGTCTGGTACTTTTGTGACAATAAGTGACAGACGTGATGTCATCTATAGATGACTCCCAAAACCCACAGTTTTCGAAAGGATGATGGGTGGTCAAGTATTAGCTAAACGCACATAATTCCAAGTAAGTAAAAATGTTAAAAGAAAGGGGGAGGCATCTTCCACTTCACAGACTCCTGAAATAAACTCTCGAAATTCCTACGTCTAGATAGCTGTAAATGCAAATGTTTGCGCTGCCCACGTGTTTCATTGATCAAATCGTTGTCACATTATTCTGATATAACGTTGGGCATAAGACATCAAAAGCTGAATATTGGACATTTTGGGAAACTGAGCCAGACACACGCAGGTCTAAAAGCTACTTAATTAGCGTAGCTTTAATAGACAGAAAGACTAACAGACGCAAAATATTTGCTGTCGAACACAGAGTATAGATTATAGAAGAATTATTAAATGCAGCAGTGTCAGCAGTTGCCCAACCAATGAATACAATAAGCTCTTCTCGGATAGATTGACTAAGTGGCAGAGGCGTAGCTAGGGGGGGGGGGCGAGGGCATATGGGGAATTGTCGCTACAGCTCTGCTAAGTGGGAAGCCAGAGCAACACGTGCCAACATAAGATGGCGCTGGACTGCACCGTGCTACACGTGCATGATGTATATTGGCTAAATGAATAATCTTCAAGGAAACTTTTGTTCGTTTGAGTATGTTGAGTTGTATCAATCTGACAGTACAAATTTAAACCTGGAGTGTTGTTTAAATATAAAATGATAGTATTTTGTTAAGATTTTTACCATTTAGTAATCTACCTTCATGTATGCGTGCTTCGTGTATGATTTATATCATATACACAGATATTTGCATGTAGCTAGGGGGATTTTGAATTTAAAGGCAACTAGAACTAAACCCAAACTATGCATGCATATCAGGCACCTAATTTGCCACGAATTACAAAATTAGTGTTATGTAATAGCAAAAAATTAAAGCTTGTAATAGTTTTAAAAATCGTTTTAAATAAATAAATAACATGTTTCTATGTAATCTTGCAATAAAAAGGAGAATAAACATGATTATTTTTTAAATCTATAATAAATAGATAAATGGCCCGTTAAGGGTTGATAGTGTTGTCTTTTTCTCTAAACTGCAACCAAAACAATAAATCCCACGTTTAAGGGTATGACTACGACAAAATGAAGTATCAACGTGCAGTTATTACGTAGAACAAAGTTACCAGATAAAGTAATATGGAATTGTCTACATTTAGCCTCTATACACAAAACAGAGTAGTGTCATTGATTGTTGAATAAAAAATGAATTAAGAATCGAATGCCGAAAACAGTTGGCCTACACTTAAATAATGTCGTCGTTGATAATAGACACAAAAAAGCGTAATTTAATTGTCTAATTGTAGAAATAAATATAGATATACATAAAATACTGGTAAAGTGATACAGTAGATAGACTACATTTCTAATTGCAAAAAATTAAGAGCAAGTTCCGCGACAAAATTAATTTCCTATATCTCACATGTGTTTGAGACATAGAGACTCTTGGGAACTCTGTGAACACGCGGCGATGTAACTCAAAACTTTACGTCCTCCGACTAAGACTATTTTATTATAATCTAATATTAACAAGATAATGGTTTAATCCCAGGTTCTTTCTAAATTTTTCTAGAAATGTAAATAAAGTTTTTTAGTTATTTTACTTATAGGCTAATTTAAACTATTTTATTCAAATTGGCCATTTTTTAATGGTGTGACCAATCCTCAGTCCTCACTCCTATTCGACAAACAGCTGAAAATAAGGCCTTATTTCAGTTAATTGTTTTAAGTGTAAACTATTTAGCTTTCTTGCTAAACTCTATGGCTCTAAACATTTTAAAAGTTATCTTTTTAAAATATTTCCTTGGTTTAAAAAAAAAATGTCTTACCTAACTTATAAAAATCATTTGACAAATTTATAAAATCTTGACTTAAAGTTTCCAGCTAAAATAAAATAAAAAGTAAACAAAATGACGATGAAATGAAGGTATTAATTATTGTGTTACACACAAATAAACTGCTTTATCTATTATAATAATTGTATTTAATGTTTAAACAGAAAACGACAATACCTTTCTAACACTTTGTACTCCGGTTTTGAAGTTCTGGTTGAACTGTTCAATCAATGTGTCAATAGGTATCAATCTATGTTGTAGTAGTTTGTAAACCACACTTTGCTTGAAGGAATAGATAAAAAAAAATGTTATATGTTTTTAATTGTTCTCCAACACAATGCATGTTTTACAAGGATTCTTCAAAACTTTATGAGAAGTATACTTTTTAGTATCCATTCTAAATAGTATCATATATAAAGGATCCAAAAGTATATTATGTTTCATTGTAAAATTCATAATAGTAAAACTATAAATTTGCCATATTTTCAAATGTTTCAACATAGACTAAAATAACTAAAATACATACTAATTTATTTATAAAATAATTATTTTTTAAAAAACTGTATAAACCTTTGAAATAATCTCCTTAAATCTGACTGAAGTATTGAAAACAATTGTATTTTGATTTTCTTTTAAAGCTAAAATTAGATCATATTGTTTTTTTACATCCTTTGATATAGTGTCTGCTTCTGATTTATAAACTTCCATCTCTTCCTTTATTGTGTTCAATTGATCGTCAAATGCAGTCACGCGTTGATCTAATTTTTCTAAACTTGTTTTTTTATTTACTTCTTCTGCACGAAAATCATCCATTTCTTTATTTTTCTCCAGGATGACATTTATTTAATTGTCTAATTTTTTAATACGCTTCTTATGTTTTTTAGAAATGTGCTCTATTTTAAGTTCCATATCAATTTGCACTGACACGAAGTTATTTTGAAATTGTTTTATTTTTGATATCTCATGTTCAGTCTTTTGTTTTGTTTCTTGAAGTGAAGATAAACTTGATTCAATAGACTCTAGTCTCTGTAGAGTTTCGGTGGTTGCTGTGAAAGTTTAGACATATAATTTATGAAAATTGGTTAAACTAAAAAATTAAATTAAATTAACATTTAGAAAAGGTAACTCCTGGAATCTGAATATTAATGTATATTAATATTTTATCGTTGTCAAAGTTTAAGCTTAAATCATGCACACATTATATATATGAAAGTTATTTCAATTGATTGTTAGAATTTGTTTTTTAACTTGTTCTCAATTGGTTTAATTTTAAGTTATCAGACACAAATGACCCACAACATTTTTCTTTTTCTGGCTGTTTTATATTCAAACTATCTGGTGTTGAGTCTTTTTCTGCAGCCATTTTTGGATACTGCAACAGGGATTCTGTAATCATAATTTTACAAATACTATCTGTCAATACAACAGACAAAGAACTACAAAATGTAATATATAGTTATAACAATAGTGTTACATAAGCTAACCTAATTCAATATGATTAATTTATAAAAGATAATTTTTTGCCGCAAAATAAATTTCTACCCAATGTTTACCTAAAAACCTGCATTTGTCTTATTCCCAGATTTCTGTGGACTGCTGCTAGTGAAACTGAAACAGCCTAACGGGAAATCCCGATATTATCCGTGTTTACACGTAGGATATCTGTCTAGAAATCAACTTGAATTTGTTATTTACTGCTTGAAAATTAAGTTTATCAGGATTTTTATATTTATTTGAATTGTAAGTATTATTTTAAATATGATTTGTGTAATATGAATATTTGAGTTGCAGTTTATTTGATTAAGACAAAAAAAAACAATAATGCTTTGAGTCTAAATGCAGGTCTACTACACACCAAAAGCAAAAAAAAAAAAAAAAAAAAAAAAAAAAGACACTACATTCATATTAACAGTATAAACAATCAAAATGTTCATAACTTACCGACCGAAATAACTGGTACGTTATTAGCATTTTAAACTCAGAAACTCGAGCTGTATATTTTTATATCGACACCAGTAGCGTACGCAGGGATGGAAGCAGGGGGAGCGGCCGCTCCCCCTCTGGCCATTTTCAGCAAAGTGACGCCTTTTTGGAAACTTTTTAAACTCAAAGTTTTAAACAATGATATTTGTTAAAAAATATTTTTGGTCAGCACATCTATGTAAATCACAAGATTTCTTTTCATGCAGCAATTAAGCATTATTGTACTAGTCTAGTAGTGTCTACGTTTACAACACGTATTAACAGCTGCATCAGTTTGCCATTCTAAAAATAACCATTACGATGCATTGCAATGTTTAAAAAACCTCTACGGGTAGTACCACTTGGCAAGAGGGGTGTTAAGTATAAGGCAACTGTATAATGTATTTGCTTACGAATAATTGAATATAAAAATGTTATACATAAGACTTCACATATAATTACTTTATATATACAGTTTGAATCGTGTGATTAATTTTAAAAAAATACAATACAAAAACAAATACAACTGATGTGCAGAGGCGTAGCTAGGGGAGGGCGGGGAGGGCGGCCGCCCCGGGCGCCGACCCTAAGGGGGGGGGGCCAAAAGGGGTAGAAAATTATTTCAAAAGCTCATTTAAAGCTGCAGTTTTGAATTATAAACAGCCAAAGTAAAGAAATTTAACGGCTGAGAGCCTTTGCATACTGATTTAACTGTTTTCTACCTTGATTGTGTAACTGTAAAACGTGTATCCTTAAGAAACAGTGACCGGAAAACCGCTTTCCAGCTTTCCTAGATGTGGGAGGGGGGGGGGGCGCTTATTCGAAGACTAAAATCTTAAAGATATCACACCGGATTAAGGAATAAATAACCGATATCACTCAGAAAAGAAACCCATTGTACTAAAGCGTATTTTACGATTGTGTGACATTAAAAAAAGAGTTAGTGACGTTTAAAATCCGCTATACCATTTTTGTCCAACTTCATTGTGATTGATCAGATACTTTAACTTGATTGCATTACATCTTACCATGATCTCTTCATTAAAGATAAATAAATATCACGGATTCTTGTATCGCTATCCGATAAGTAAAATAGCAGACTGTCGGAGAGGGTGGTGGAAAGCGACACTCTACTTTGCCAAAATTTTAAGAGAGAAGAAAATTGGTATATTGTAATGAATAGATCATTTTTTAATTCCTTTTTTCATAACACTTTGCTCAACCTAACTGATAACTTGAAATTATAATATAGGCCTACTATTATCGAAGTTGTTCTAAAGACACGACCAAAAGTAGACCAAATAAGTTTGCACCTACTACAAAATACACTCTAAAGCAGTGGTTCTTAACTTTTTGGAGGTACCGAACCCCACCAGTTTCATATGCACATTCACCGAACCCTTCTTAATAGTTGTATCGTTCACACAGATAAAATCGTGAATCACTTCCGCGGAGACCCTGAGACTGAATTACCGAACATCTTGGGTTTGATGGAACCCACTGTTCTAAACTCTTTTGATTTTCTTCTTTTTATTCTTTTCGGCTTCATAAGTAACATAGGCATAGGCAACACTTCGTCAACTAACTTGATTTTTATGAAGATCGAACCCTAATAATCCAGCTTCCCCTTCTCTATTTCGAACGATTTCCTTCAGAACGTATTTAGTCTTTTTCTCTTCCTCTTTCCCCATGGACTTCACACAAGCACCTGCATGGGGTGTTATTTTTTGTCTGTCTCATATTGTGTCCTAACCAGCACCTTTTCATTCTCAACTGTCTTTAACGTAGCTCCGAGCTATACCGTAAAAGATACATTATATTTAGCTTAGAATGTTAATACGCATTTTATCGCTGCTGATTCTAATCTGAACGTCATGAGCGTCAGCTAATATCATTAAACCGATTATTACAGCTACTTCAACCAGTACAATTTGTTCTGCATTTGTTGTTGACTGTGTGCGAGAAGGCAGCGCACATCTGATAAATCCAAGACTTCGAGCTGTTGTGTCCGTTGGATTCCAGTTTGTTTTCTCTAGCTTGTTTCATTATACAATCAACCAGTCAACGAAATACCCATATCATATTCCAATGTGAACAATAATTTGCTATTGTATGTCAATTGTATGATCTTAATCTAACAAACTTATAATCCAAATATATACTATATCATAAAAGAGACTGTTCCAAAGAAAAAAAACATAAAAAGACTGTCATAAAAGAATTAGCACCTGCAAATTATTTTTTTCTGACATTACTAATCATCATTTTTTAAGGATAATGTATCTTAAGGGGTAAAGTTTTAGGGAACGACAATCATACAGCTAATTATTAATTTTTTTCCGGACTGTCGCACACACACATACACACACACACACACACACATATATATATATATATATATATATATATATATATATATATAGGGGGCGCCAAACTAAAAGTTCGCCCCGGGCGCCGGAAAGGGTCGCTACGCCTCTGCTGATGTGGCACCTATATTTAAATTTAGTTATGAGCAAACTGCGTAGTGGTGGGGAAATTTTGACAAGGTCAACAACGTCATCATGATGAAGTAGTAGTATTCTTACAGTTTGGGCGATAGTGACTACGATTACAAATTATATGAAACAGTTATAACCCCCTCCCCATGGACCGCTCTGTAAAAAAATATTGTCATAATACCACTGCTACTTATTTAAATCTATTTCTGTAATATGTATTTGTGTAATATATATTTGTGTAATATATATGTATGTTTAGAACAGTCATCTAAAAACTGACGCTATGTTCACTCTGAGTTGGTTATCTCCCCCCCTCCACACACCTCACCACCACAATTGTGTAGAGCGACATTAATATCACACCTATGTATACACAGGGTTTGATAATTGACCTAAAGTGACCGGACAGTGGTGAATGAAGTTGAACCAATCCCCCCCCCCCCCAACCCACCCCGAACTTATCTGTTAAGTGCATGTAGAAAAACGCGTAATGATGTACGAAAGTACCATGCCGCCAGAAAATTAGCTTTTTAAACGTAAAAATCTGTGAATATTGTTTTTGCAATTACCAGTAAAAAGGTGTGTGACCAATACAGTGATCTAACCCATACCTATCCCTATGTTAAAAAATGATCTTTAAAGAACACAAAGAAGCAGTAGTTAATTAAAAATATATGATCTGAACTAAAAGACCAATATCTAGTTAAATGTAGGCTGTTATTCCGGGTGTTTTTCTATTATATCGAAAAGCTTGGTTTTATACCATTTCTGATTTTAAAAAAAACTTTCATTATGCTGTAATACTTTAGCATTTATGACGACGATATATTAAATTTTTTCTAAAAACACGAATAGTGGAAAACAATTTTATTATATTCTTAAGTAATTATTTATTTGTTTTGACATTTATAATTAAATGTGTAGATATATACATATTTATATTAAAGGAGTTATTATTTCCCCTATTTCACTTGTCTTAAATAATTTCCCAGGAATTATTATGTAAGAATTTTTTTTTTTACAAGAATTACAAAACAGATTGTGTTAAGTTCATTGTTTTGGTTGTAGTGTGTGTGTATTTTTTTGTTGTTGTTTAGATTGATACAATTTTTGTTTTGTCGGCCTACATTGTGTGTTTTTTCTTATTTCTTCAGAGTGCTACTTTCAATTTAGTTTACATCATAACGAAGTAATGACATATAACTAGTAATTATATATATATATATATATATATATATATATATATATATATATATATATATATATATATATATATATATATAATTCACATACAACTAGTAATTATATATATATATATATATATATATATATATATATATATATATATATATATATATATATATATATATATATATATATAATTCACTTATATAGAAGGTGTTACAAATTCGGCGCCTTTTTTTTCTCTTTTCGCTCCCCCTACAACGAAAACCTGGATACGCCTCTGAGCCTTTGCATACTGATTTAACTGTTTTCTACCTTGATTGTGTAACTGTAAAACGTGTATCCTTAAGAAACAGTGACCGGAAAACCGCTTTCCAGCTTTCCTAGATGTGGGAGGGGGGGGGGGCGCTTATTCGAAGACTAAAATCTTAAAGATATCACACCGGATTAAGGAATAAATAACCGATATCACTCAGAAAAGAAACCCATTGTACTAAAGCGTATTTTACGATTGTGTGACATTAAAAAAAGAGTTAGTGACGTTTAAAATCCGCTATACCATTTTTGTCCAACTTCATTGTGATTGATCAGATACTTTAACTTGATTGCATTACATCTTACCATGATCTCTTCATTAAAGATAAATAAATATCACGGATTCTTGTATCGCTATCCGATAAGTAAAATAGCAGACTGTCGGAGAGGGTGGTGGAAAGCGACACTCTACTTTGCCAAAATTTTAAGAGAGAAGAAAATTGGTATATTGTAATGAATAGATCATTTTTTAATTCCTTTTTTCATAACACTTTGCTCAACCTAACTGATAACTTGAAAT